GGGTCGAGCTAGGGGGGGGGGGGTGGGGGGATTTATCAGGGTGTCTAGAATTAGGAACCATCAATTTTTCGAATGGAGCACCGACATAGAATGACATGAGAGACTAATGTCACATTAGCTTCCCCGATAAAAGTATATGTGGAGTATAAGTAGAGTATTTTTCTTTACGACAAGCAAAACTTCATTCAGAAGAAATTAAATGTGCAATATAACAGAGTGGCGTACAGCTCCATGAGACAAAATGGGATGTAGCACACAGTGCAAAAGTATGAGCAATACAATTACGATTTCTACGAATAGAGTATTTTTTTATTACAATAAATACGTTAAAATAATGTATCCTAATTTTAATCAGACCAACACAAACATCACAGTTACATTATGTATGTAATGCACCGACATAATATGTATGTGTTTGTCGAGTTATAAATGGGTTACATTATTTTGGTGCATCTCTTGCTAGGGGTGAGCAAAGACCGAAACAATCCTGATATTTTCCGAAAAAACCGAGAATATCGAATCGAAAAATACTGAAGCGATAAAGTATCGCAAAGTAACCGAACCGTACGAGTTACTTCCCATACCGAAATTCTCGAACCAAACATATATACTTCTTAATTTTTATATTTCTTCATTAAATAAAAAATTTATATGGATACTTTAGTTTATTTTCATTATGTGTAAGTTGCACTTTAATAGGATTTTTTTTAATTTTTGTAGATGAGTATAAGAATATTAAGAAATATTTTAAATAATACTTTTTTATCACTCGTTTCTTTAGGTTGTGATATATTCCGTATAAACTAACTTTCATAAGCATTTATTGCGATTTACTTTTTCATTGCTAATTTTTTTAAATCTTTCTTTGGTTAAATGTACGTTCAATTTTCAAAAATAAAAGGTTTTGTTACATTTTATGGTGTAAATTAAGTACGTATATATTCATCCCGATTTGTACCGAGACCGATACTGAACCATCTTGAACCATCCCGAACTGATGTTTCGGAATCGGAATCGGTACAACATAATATCTCATACCCAACCAAAATATTTGGTAGGGTATCGGTACGAGATAGATACCGTACAATGTCATACTATGCTCATCCCTATCTCTTGCATACCCGTTTTAATTATTGTTTCTTTAGGCGTTGTTTGGTACAAAGATTTCAAATTAAAAATTAGAATTGAGAATAAGAATTTCAATTCCGATGTTTGATACCACAAAAATATATGGATTGGTAGGGCCAAAAAGAAATTGGAATTAAAGAATTCAATTCCATGCAAATTAATTTTATGGTATGTTTGAAAACATGGATTTGGATTTCAAATCTGGATTTGACTCAAATTCTATGCTTGGGAAAATTAAAAATTTTGAATTTGGATTTGAGTCAAATTCTTCTCATTCATAACAAAGATTTATTTGAAATTCATGCACCTCCCATTGTCATTTGAAATTTAGGATTTTAAATTTTGGAATTGATATGCATGACATAAAATGATAGTTGTCAAACACTACCTTATAGTATTTCAATTTTTAATTCAATTTCAGTTTCGTGTACAAATAGACGTTTAGTATAATTTAATTTGTTTAATCTATGTTTTTAAGTATTTTATAATTATGGATTTATATAAAATTATGACTTCCTTCATTCTGTGAAATCATTTCTAGTTCGAATGTTTTAAAAAAGTTATACTCCCTATATAAAGTCATATCTTAAAACAAAAAAAAAATTACACTAAACTTGTATTGCTCCATCTACATATCCATAAATTTCTTTTCCCTTTATTTGTGAATAAATTTTTTTAATAAAATACTACGAAGAATATTTTTGGCCCATGAATTGAATCTGTTAATCTAAAGACAAATCTTACTATGTACACTTTTCGTCCATCATAAATCTTTTTTGAATAAATTTTTTTGTGCATTTTTTTCGTCTACCATAGATCATTTTAATTTTTTTTTTTATGTTTAAGGAGAGTTGAAAAAAATTTAAAGTTTATTAAAAAGAAGTCTTTCTGAATAAAACTAAAAAAATACAAAATAGAAGTCGTAAGTATTTTAAAAACAAATGAAGAGTATAATGACAATGTGATGTAGGAGTTCGTGTTAGCACTTAATAATGTGATGAAAAAATGATTGTGAGATAAAACTAACATTACAACCACTCTAAATATTACCTCCATCCCAAAGTATTGGTGTACTTTCATTTTTACACACCATCCAATACACATCTTTAATCTATTTTATCTTGTAATTTGTATATTAAAAAATTATAGAAATTATATATTAATAATCTATATGTTAAGACGAATCAAACAAGATCACACATGACTATAGTTAGGCTTACACATTGAGAGAATTTGGCGAACAGTTCTAAAAGTCAAAACTCGACGAATACTCCGGGACGGAGGGAGTATAATTTTAACCACTCAAAATACCCCGTAGTATAATTTAATTTTAAGTTTTTCTGATAGTACTTCGAAATAAGAGGTGTCAAGAATATTTTATTTTATCAAATAATCAATAAAAATGTAGAAATAAACAAAAGTTTCCGCGACTGTTGAAAAAGTAAATGTGGCAAATAATTTGAGACGGAATAAGTAAAAAAGGAATGAACCGTATAAAAAAGGAATACGTAAAAGATAAAAAATTAAATTAACAAAAAAAGATCTAAGTCTCATTGATTAGATTAGATATTGTTGTCATTATCATCTATCCACAATTTTTAAGTGGAAGTCAAAATTTGGAAAGTTAAAAAAAAAGAAGAAAAGATCCAACGGCTCCATCGTTGTAACACTTAAGTGAGATACTCTCCGTAACACTTAACTCGCTACTTTATTAAGAGAGAAATAAATACAATCCATCGTTGTAAAGCTCAGGTAGGGTAGAGGTAGGTCAAGATCGGCAACAATGGCGGCGGCGCAAGGCAAGAGGCGTGAGATTGTTCTTCTCGATCTTCCACAGGAGATTTTGGAGGAAGTGCTGTGCAGATTGCCTCTTGATGTCATACGGAGATGCTTGAGGCTCTCAAAGCGCATCTACAGTCGCATTACTTCTTTCAGTTTCTATGAGAGGTGGATTGCGGCCAATCTCCGACCGGAGCTATTCCTCTTCTCAAGTTCCGGCGATAACGATGACGACAGCGAAGATGCCCTTGCGAATTCCATCCATTCGCTTACTCTAAGTGAATTTGACCAGCCTCTCTTGCCTCATGCCGCTGGTATTGTGCAAGTCCCGAATCCACTCCAGGGGGGTAAAAGATGAGGAAGAAGGGCTGCAAACACTTCACGTCTGGAATCCCTTCTTGAGGGTGCTGGGTCCGGCAATAACCCTGCCTCCTAGGTTTGAAGATCTAGAAGAATTGCAGGTGGGGTTTGGCCATTCCCAAGGGGAGTTTTATATACTCCTCATCTCTCCCCTGGTCGAAGCAGAATCTGGAGAAGGGTTGTTTACTGAAGTCCAGTTCTCAAGAGTGTGCCCTCAATTCGGAGACCAGCTATGGACCGTGGTGAGATGCCCTCACCTGCTCTTGCCAGGGTCTGTTCTCTGCCACCAGACCACCAATTCCCTCAACGATGAAACCGTTTTGTGGTCTGTGAGAAATGGCCCTAAGAGCTGGTCCGTGCAAGGATTCAGCTTCACCACGAAATCCTTTATTGCCAGCATTCCTTTCCCAGATTGGGTTGGTGATGGCGCACGCAACCATCCGATCGTCAAAGTTCTTGCTGGTCGGGTGTTTGTCTACCGTGCAGCCACGGGGGATGGCGGTGATGATGACCCTATTGTAGTCTGGAGCCTTGGGGAGGATGGAAATTGGGATTTTCAGGCGCAATTTGATTTGGTTGAAGATTTTGTTGGTGAAGATGATGTGATCGACGAAGACTATCATCCTGATGTTACCGACAGCTTCAGGGAGGTGTTTGCCGTGACTCCCGGGCAAGATCGATTGTTTGTGTATACGTCAGATGATCACCTAATGGGGTTTGATCCAAACACGTCAGCGTATTTCTATTTTGGTGAGCGTGGCAATCATCTTGAGGCAATTGATGAAGTGGATTCTCCGGAGTTGCCCGATCTACGCGTTGCATCTTACCACCCTTCATTCATATGGCCATACACAAGGTAGCTACTTCTCCCTTTCGATCTCTTCACTAACTATAATTTTGGGGTGCATCATTTTCTTTCACACGTATATAGGGTCAGTAGGTTTGCTTTTGATTTAGTGGGTATTATTGATTAGTGGAGCATTCGGATTTTAATTGTGATTCTTAATTCTTTTGCTTCATACAAAATAGAAAAAGTGATTCTAAAATGTAAAATCTGTTGCATATAAGACCAAAACTACCTACTTTTCCCTAAAGAAGACTAAATAGGTATTTTTCTCTCAATAGATACACATGGTCTTCATTTGATTCTTTCGTTTTATTTTGTTTCGTTTTGCTGCCATTTCGCTTCATTTTCTTCTCTATTTAAGTCATTTTCTAGTGATGAGCCGGGTGTTTGGAATGGAGTATATGTCATATTGTCATGTTGATGTTGGCCGGGTGTTTGGAATGTAGTATATATCATGTTGATGATGGCCTCCTCCACTTCAAGTGCTTTTTTTGTTTGTCCAAGCACTCTAATTGTTTTGTTTCTGCAAACTAGATACCATCATATACGTACCAGTTTTCTAAGTTTATAAATTCTGTTTTTCTAATTTTGATGCATTTTTATTTGGTCCTTATTGTTATTTGTGTAATGTCTTTGTTTGACACATTGGGTTTGTGGTCTTTATGCTCATTAAGTGCATACTTATTATCCACAAAAAAAGTGCATACATTATGGCTCTTGTACAGGTCCTTCCATTTATCATCTATATATTTATATATATGGAGTATATTCTTTATAAATCTTCCATGGTCATTATGTAATGTCTTCGTGCTTTATTCTCACAATGTCCAAATATCTTCAAATACTATACTATCCTTACTGTCAATCCTTTTGGTCATCATCTTACGTATGTCCATATATTCTATTAATCATTTATCATCCCTAATTTCCTTTTACAGATTAAATCATCATGCGCATTTGGTTCCTTAGCTTGTCTTTGGTAATAATGGGAGATCTTTTTTTCTCGTAAACTTTAGAGATAAAACGTGCACTTATTGTGAGTTCCAAGTTCATCATTTTGTGAGTGTTCATGTCGTCTTGTTTGAAAAGTGCAACTCTTTCTTTTGATTCCTGTGTGTGTATGGGTGTAAATTGATTGAGAATGTTTGCTGAAGTGTTTGTTTATTGCCATCTTACAGATTTGCAGGAGAGGATAATTGATTGAATCTGTAGCATAGAGGAGGAGGTTATCATAGTCAGCATTTCAGGAGGTATATATATATATATATATATATAAATATAGTAGGTGATTACTAGTTGCAGAGAAGGAGCCAGATGATAGGCTAATTGCATGCGTATGCTATCATTGCTCAAATTAAACTTTTTTTGGTGCCCAATCTATCTTTTACACTTTTAATTTGTGTCAAACAAAGACATTACACAAATAACAATAAGGACCAAATAAAAGTGCATCAAAAAATGTTTATTTTTAAGTTGTCCATTTTTTAATTTTTTTTCCTCATTTGCACAGTAGAAATTAAAAAGCCTAAAACATATTTGATAGATCAAAATATTTTTTCCTGTTTGGTTCGTACAGGTTCGATCATAAGTATTTTAGTACATGGTCCAAACTCGAATAGATTTATGTCCGGTCTTTGGCCTATGATTTTTTTCTATTTCGGTTTCCTGCCTTGGATCAATAAACAGTCATATTGGGAAGTGTTCAAAAAGGATAGGGAAGTGTTCAAAAAGAAATAACTTGGCATAGAACGTATAATATCATACCAAACCAATACTGCTAAAATGATTGCCTAACCCAATATTAATACAATTACTCCGTATATAAGAACCAACACCAAGATAAACAGACAACAAATAACAACATCAACAAAAGGGAATCAGTCTAAGAGTTTTGATTTCGAATTGAAAGAATATATTTTAATAGCAGATGGTACAAGATGCTTAACCGTTTTTCTTTCTCTTATTTTTTTTCCTTCAATTTTAAGATTAGTTTGAGACCCAAAGAAGCTAATTGCAACTTTCAATCCACCCAAAAGAAGCAACAAAGAAAATAAACCAAACCAAATACTTGAAGATTCCATTCTAAGAAGGGCACGAAACAAACTAAAAAATCAGGCAAAAAGAATGAGACAAACACAGTTATGTTTTACTAATAACTGCTAAGACCTCTCGATGCATGTTTGGAGCCCTTTGCCTTAGACTCGTCAAGAAATTTTGTACTTCTTCTCTTACACTTTCCGTGTAAAATATCACTTTGATTGATTTCAAGCAGGTGAAAGTGCAATCCCCGAGCTCCTCTGGGTCTCCTGATAGATGAAAGGGATGAGATTGGTTCTGGTCATCGATTTGTTTTGTACTTCCGACCTGCTTTTCTCCCTAAGAATTAGGATAAGTACAGTTAAAAAACAAGAAATTAAAGAATATGGTACAAAAATATTACTAGAGGGTGATGCGAGTTTTCTTCAACTCTATGAACTCGCAGGTCGTCCTATGCATCTTTTTTTAAAAAACCACTAGGAGCATTTAATTTTTTTTTATAGTAAAGATTAGGGAGATAGGGGCTTTGTATTTTCCATTTTGCCCCTATTCAATTGGCCTCATGTCTTCTTCAATGATCATCGCCCCATTTTTTTTAACTTTTCGTGTTCTTTTTTCAATTTGCAATGGACACAAAATCTAATAAAAACCTGTCTTTTCCCAATATTTTTATGTATTGTGTTTGTATATTCATTGAGACCATTATTGAAAGAAAAACAAGAGTATACCGAAGAAATTGACAAGTAATTATTTGGAATGATGTATAGTACAGAGTACCTTGTGAGGGATGGTGATATAGAGGGTCTCCAGACATGGACAGAGCTTAAGAGTGATAAACAAGAATGCAACATCTCTTGGATCATTCAAATCTACATCAGTAGACAAGCTTCTTAGTCTTCCCAATTGGCTGCGGCCTCCTGGTTCAGCCTAGCAATTAAATATCCCACAACGAGAAAACGATGATGGCACAAGGAAAAAGAGAAGAAAGAAAGATAGAACAAATGCACGCACAAAAGCGTAAATAATAGAATGACGTACCCGTGATGGTGAAGTGAGGAAGAGATGAAGGACATGGGTGGAGGTCAAGTGATAATATTCGACATTGATTCTAGATTCCAATCTTGGATAAGGAAGTACATCCAATTTGTCGATCCCATTCATGACTTGGAGTGCAACAAGTTGAGGAGTGTCAAGTTCTAACCCGACTTGAGGCACATCAACCTTCTTGGAAAAGTAGAAATATGGGCTGCGGAGTGTGAGGTTATAAAGGCCAAGTGCCTTAATCGAAAGTGCATTATATCGACCTTTGACGCTAATCCTATCAAGCTCCAATGACTTTAAGTTTATGGGAGCCGATATGCTAAACCGTGCCCACTTGTATGCCTTGCGTGCTTTTCTGATGAGGGGAGGGGCTGACCCCTTTGAGGGCTTCCATGCTCCTCGCAAAACACAGCAGCTAAAGCTCAGGCTCTCTAGAGCCTTGCAATGCGGAAAGATTTGAGCCTCCAACACACGGACCTTGACTACCACTTGACTAAACTTGAGCACCTTGAGATTCGCACAACGTTGAAAAGTGGATGATGATGGGAATTTCGCATTCCTCACCTCGAGCACCTCTAGGAATTTGCTAAATAAGCTCCACTGATCATCCTCCACATGTCCTCGTTGTGGATTTAGAATCGAGATGTTTTTTATCTCAGAGAGGGAGAGACTGCGAATGCCAACATTGTGATGTGCAAGAGAGTCTAGGAGGGGTTTGAAAGGTTGGGTTAGACGTCTCAAGCGGCCAGTTTTGTACTTGGCCGGGTTGATATTAAGGTTGAGGTGATCGAAATGGGTCCATACATTTGTCCATGACCTCGAGAGAACGGTGGCTCTCACTGCTTCTTCCACCGGCAGCAAAGATAGTATGGCTGCTTGAAGTTGGAGTGGGAGACCGCTAAAGCGGTCACCCTCTTCATCTCCCCTTCCCTCTTCTCTGTTTATTTCTTCTTCTCCTTGCATCTTTGAATTGAATGCTTCCTCTATATATAAACAGATTTCAGAACATTCATTCATAAGTTCAAACTTTCGTTTTAGTTGGTTCTTTGACATGGTATTGTAGTCTTGTTTACATAGAGAAAGGGGAAATGTTTTAAGCGACGAAGGCAGTATGTCTGTATGATTTATTTCAAAAAGAAATTGACTTAAATTAATTTCATCGTGCATTTTACAAATATTAGTAAAAATATAGGAGTATATATAGTTGTAAAAAATATACCACAAAGAAAAAAATAGATTTAATCAAAAACTAATTATTGTAAGTATGATAAGATTAGTTAAATCTAAATTGTAACTCCATGTGTTTTACAGTAATAGTTTGAAAATATTTGAACAAATACTTCATTGTAGAGTATTAGAATTGATACAATTTAATAATATTTGGTTTTATGAATTCTAATCATAGTAGAGTAAGAATTATGTAAGAGTATAATAATGAAGGTAATATTTGTTTAAAGTAGTAAAATTTGAAAATGCTCCATCTAACCCATCTTGAAACGGAGAGATAGTAAAAAGTGGCCGGTGGAAATCTGCTTCATCCATCAAGTGGTTGAGCTGCTAATACAAACTATATTTTTCACTAAAAAAAACACTAAGGCTCCCTTTGGTATACCAGATTGTAAAAGCGGCAATCCCAACCATTGATCAAAATATTTTTCTATTTGGTATGTTTGCTAATTTAAATATTATGCATTCATGCCCCTTATTACACCAACCTTGATTTTTTAAAATCAATAGGCAACTTACATAAAACTTTTAAATGTCAAAATACGGAGAATATTTGTTTTTAACGAGGTAGTCCTTTTTATAATAAACCACATTACTATGTTTTATACATTATTTCATACTGTCTTTTTCGTCTGGTACCGAAATAAAAACATCCTTATCCATACATGTCTGCATTTCCTTCTCAAGTCGGTTGTCATTTCAATGATCAACGCAACAATTGATTATCGAATAAAACATTTTTTCTCCTTACATATATATATATATAAAAGGCCCTTTTTTAGTTAGGTTACTAAACTTTATTTTTTGAATAATCATTTTTTTCTTTTTTTACAATATTTATGTTCAATTATAAATCATTTTGATTTTAAAAGATTCATTATGGACAATTATCAATATCGTTCGACAAATAAATCTCAAAATCTCCTTTGCATATTTTTTCAATGGCAAAACACTTTTTTTTAATTCAATATATTTTTTACCATTTATATCGTAATCCTTCTGTCCATAATTCTTCACATTTAATTTTTCTAGGTCAAAGTTTGTAAACTTTGACTCCAATCTATGAAAAAAAATAGTGTTTTATGATATAAATTTAATATCAATATATTTCTAATAAAACGTAGTTTTGAAATATCAAATTTTTATAAAATATATCTATGTATAAAAATAGATATTAATGATCAAAGTACAACACTAAAACCGTAAAAAGTCAAATGAAAAAAGAACATTTTCGGACAGAGGGAGCATTATTATTGAGTAATTTTTATAAAAAAAAAGTTTATGCTGTTTTTTTCCAGTTAAGATTCAATCAGCCCCTTTAAAAGTTTACAAATCTAGCTCAAAAGTGATTGGTTAAACAATTTTTTTTGTCCCCTACGCGCTTGATCAGCACGTGATGCAGTAATTTTTTTAATCATAACACGATCGATCTAGTCGTTATGAAGTGTGAATTTATGACTTATTTTTATGAATCACTTTTTAGATTCATTCCACTAATATTTTTTATAACCAATTTTTATTAAGGTTCTATTTGACATCACATTAGAGATTAACATTTTGAAAAAACTATCTAATATAGCCTTTAACGTCAGCATTTTTTGAATTAATCTTCATCGTTAATATTTTATCTAAAACACTAATGGTATGTTTGGAAACATGGATTTGGATTTCAAACCCGGATTTGACTTAAATTCCATGTTTGAGAAACTTAGATATTTTGAATTTGGATTTGAATCAAATTCTTCTCATTCATAACAAAGCTTAATTTTAAATTCATGCGTCTCCCTTTGTCATTTGAAATTCAAGATTTCAAATTTTGGAATTGAAATACATAAATTGAAATGAAGTCCTAGTTGCCAAACACTACCAATGGAAATTGAATTGAAAAGTCAATCTTGTTTTCTCCTTAAGCGCTACAGAAGCGTTTCCCAGTCCTCCCTAAGCGCTCTGTCTCTTCCTCTTCATTCGGCGGACGAGACAACGTAGACCGGCAACCCAGTTCCTAGAGACAGTAGACCATTGGAAACATCGGCAAGATTTCGGCAGTGACAACCCTCGCCGGAGAATACAGTAGTACCGGCGATTCCCCAGTCTCAGCGGCAGCAGGGGCGGGCCAATCGAGACCGTGGCGGCAGCCCACAAAAATTCCGGCGACACATCCTGTTGGCAGCAACAAAACTCCTCCTCCGGCGGTTACGGTATACCAGCGGCGGAAGCTCAAGAACAGCGGTAAGTTTGAGCAGAGCCTTATAGCAAAAAGAAGGAACGGAGCAATCTAGAACGTAACCTTATGGAGCGGAGAGACAGAACAGAAAGAAGGGAAGAGGACGAGACGAAGAGTAGATCACAGAGCAGAGTCGCAGGTGGTCAACTTAATAACAGCACAAAATCCTAAATTCCAAATTATAATTCAATTCAACAAATTCAATAATCCAAATCACAAATCCAACGTCAATTCATTGAAAACATATTAACAAATACTAATCTATGAATCAATTCTAACGAAAGAAACCTCCACTCACCTTGATGGACGAAGAACTCACAAATTAAATCAAAGTATAATCTTCCGGCGAGACGGCGACGTCTCCCTCGGTCCGGACCAGTCAACGAAAGAATCGGCAATTGGAGAAAATGATGTAAGTGCGTGTATATATGTTTACTGGTTTCCTTTTTCTTCTCTTAACCGAATAGGAAGTTACCTTTTTAATAATCCTTATTATTATTAAGAGTAAAGTGCATTGTTTACCCTCGTACTTTTTAGAAATTGCATGTTTTGTTCCTGAACTATAAAAATTGCACCGTTTACCCTCGAACTTCTTGAAAATTGCACGATTTACCCTTGCATACTAAAAAATGCACCAAATACTCTTGAACAAATTAAACCGTTGCATCGTTGGTCCTAAACTACTCCCTCCGTTCCATAAAGTGTTACCCATTTTCACTAAAGTTAAAATTAAGGGAGGGATAATTTTGTGTTGACTTTCCAAAAATACCCTTGATGTGATGGGTAAAAGTAGAATGTGATGTGTAGATTATTAGAAAAAAAGTATGATGTGATAGGTAGAGTTTGAAAAAGTAAGAGGTAAAAGTGGTTTTTTAATAGAAATGAGTAAGGGTTTGTGGGACACAATTTTTTTGAAACGTGTAAATCTTTTTGAGACAGAGGGAGTATTAGATAGGGAGTGCGTTGCTTCCACGCACAATAATTGCGAATATGATTCATCTGACCTTTGTGATTTTTCCAAAGTACCTTTCCCCAAAGTTGTCGTTTTTATTTCAATATTCAGGAGCAAACAGTACAATTTTCGTATAGTTTAAGGATATTTGGTGCAATTTTTATTGTTCAGGGGTAAAGCGTGCAATTATTAAAGAATTTAGGGGTATTTGGTGCACTTTTTAATGTTCGAGGGTAAACCGTGCAATTTTCAAAGAATTCGAGGGTAAACGGTGCAATATGTACTCCCTCCGTCCCGGATTATCCGTTCAGTTTTGACTTTTAGAATTATTAATTTAAGTACTTTGACTCATCAAATTCTTTCAATGTGTAAACTTAAATATAATCATGTGTGATCTTGTTTGATTTGTCTTAACCTATAGATTATTAATATATAATTTCTATAATTTATTAATATACAAATTACAAAATAAAATGGACTAAAGAAGTGTATTGGATGGTGTGTAAAAATGAAAGTGGACAAATACTTTGGAAAGGGGGTAGTATAAAGATGAAACAGAAACACAATTATTTTTCAATTGATTTTTTTCACATTGTCATTTCAATTTTCAAACTTATAAATTTCATTTTTAACATATAATGTTGGACAAAAAATATTTGGTATGAGAAAATTTTTATTCACACGGTACCATAAAAAATAAAATTTATATTTTTATAAAAAGAGTATTTAAAAATTATAGTTTTTATCCTCCGGGTTAAGTATATTTTTTATAACACGATACCATAATTAATATGCTTTTTGTAACATAGTATTAAAAATTTTAAGGTATGGATAATGGAATTACCTTATTAGTGATAATATATTACACGGCAATTTAATTACCATAATTATTTTTTACTCGGCACTTTAAAGTCTTTAATTTATTACACATGGTAAATTACAATTCATCACCGTTATTTGTTGTTCATATGAATTTTCAAAAATTAAGGATGAAGAATTTTAGGAAATTAATTATTCCCTTAATTAGGAAATTTCGAAATTAATATTCTTTTTCTTAACTTAGATTTTCGAAATTAATTCCCTTGATTAGGAATGGATTTGATTTGATCATGTTTTCCTAAATTGATATCTTAGTCTCCAAGTCTTTTTCCTTATTTTAGAATAATATATCATTTCCTTATTAATTTTCGGCTATGATTATTATTATTACCATTTTCAAAATTGGAAAGTATATATTAAACTAGGAAACATATCAATCTAATTAAAATTTTTGAAGACCAAATCTAAAATCAAATCCCTATTATTCCGATACTCACCTTATCGGGTTTACGAATAACATATCTACGTGTTTCCTTTTGTTTATTGAATTAAAAATGGTAAGTCTCATGAAACTGAAATTATGTTTAAAATCATAAACTCAGATACTTATTTTGATGCTAAAATACATATTTTGCTGAACTCTTAAAGTATTTAGTTTGACAAATTTAAATTAAAATTTTGTTTAAACTTAATTACAGATGTCTCCCTTATGTCCTACGGTGATGGGTCACATCTTATTATTTGAGTCTAAATAAGCACCTTCACTTACTTGTGAGTACTCTTAATTATTAAATATTCACATGACATTTGCCTAAAAACATAATCGTTTCTATTTTGCCCAACAATGATTGTTGCACTTGTGTTTTGCAAACTTAATGTGTGCATAAGCGTAAATGTTAATTTTTGTCCAAAGATAATGTGTCACATTCTTATTGCATATACCTTACTTATAATTATTCATTATGCTTAAATAATTGATAATTAACCAAAGTGAAAGTTGATTGTTTAAGTAATACGTAATCTAGTCTATTATTTTGATGTTATAATAGACTTTATTACAGCTTCATTTTCATAATGGTTCTTACTTGTGCCTTCTTAAGATCTAAGTTTCCATATGTCACTCTAACTTCTTCCTTTAGCCTACGTATCTTAATTTTGTTGTCTATTTCCACTAAGAGCCCCTAACATGGGGATGGAGACCTTGTCTGGTGAAAAGCATTCTTTGTGGAAAGACTCCTTGATGTTGACCCTTCTTCAGCAACGGTCGACCGTTCTGGAACTTTGGCAGCAGCAACAATCGACGATCGACGAACGCGATGTCGATTGATCGTGAACAGTAGACACGGAAAGAGTTGTTTGTCTCTGTAGAACAACTCTTGTCCGACCACTTCTTCAAGAATGAGGGAGGACAATAAAAAACAAAATCCTGCCGGTAGGCATTGAATTGTGTATGCCCACCGACAGGAGAAGAAGCGTGTTTGAGGTCTCAAGAATTCAAAATTGGCTCCGATACCATGTAGAAAATAAGAGAGAAAATATTTTGGTATATTGAATTGACTTGTGAATTAGTTTTGAATACAAAGATCTAATCCTCTTTATATAGGAAAAAAGTAAAATAAACAAGGAAATTTATATTCCTACTAAAATAAGAATTAAACAAACTAGGAAATATACAAAATACTAAACCCAATCCAACTAGGAAAGATACTAAACCTAATCCCAAAGGGATTCGGTTTCCTTTTTAAATCCCGCTTCCTTCGTCTCTAACACTTTCTTTCTTTAATTCTGTTTTCTTCTTCTATCTCTAACACTACTCCTCCTGTCCTTGCTGATAAAGCACTCCTGAAGATAAGATAGCGAATGACAAATGGCAAAGGAGCAACAAGATGTGTCTTATGCTTATAATGAACTCTACCAGTCCAGATGAGGCATTCCTAATTCCTCTAATGCTAAGGCTTATCTAGCTTTTGTAGAGGAACAATTTCAAGGAACCTCTAAGGCGTATGCTAGCACTCTTTTTTTTACAATTGGTGACTACAAAATATGACAGGCGCACCGGCATTGGCGAGCACATCCTAATGATGAACGACATGGCATGTAAGCTTAAGGGATTAGTCATGGAGATTAATGAAGGTTTCTTAGTCCACATCATTATGACTTCTCTACCTTCTGCATTTGAAGCTTTCACTACGTCAAAAACAGATGCTGACAACTGTTTATTTTAGTTGTCTAACTGTGTTGGTTTTAGTAGTCTTCCGAGCGGCTGTCTGATATATTTACAGACTACTGTTTAAAAACAATTGTGTAGTGCGGTTGACGACACCTATTTTGTGATCTTTCAGAGTACATGTTTTTGAAGTTGTCCTCGTATGAGTAAGACATTTGTTTTCTAGAGTTAAAGACAATTGTGATTTTTTGTTGTCTATCTATAATATATACTACTGTTGTTTTCGACTTCAGACTCCTATTGTTTGGCATTGTCGGTCAAAAATATAGATATCTAATTTCTAAAGTAGTTGAAAGATATATCAGACTGCTGCTCGAAAGACTACTAAACAAAAATAGTACTCCGTATTAGATTACTGTTATTTAGTGTTATATTTCTAAAACATAGACTACTAATTTTGTTGTATGTTAAACAACCGTTTCTTTCAATTGTATAGTGCACAATAACACTATGCTTTTTTGCAGTTGTTCTTAAAATATTCAAACTATATTTTTGAACAGTAGTGTAATTGATTATCGGACAGCTGCTCGGAAGACCACTACAAATATTTTTATCAAACAACTGTTATTTTGTGTTGTATGTACAAATTAAGACTACTACTTTGGTCTTATTTTAAACAACTGTTTGTTTTTGTTGTATAACGATTATTAACACTATGATTTTGTTTAAATAATATGCAAACAACTGTTATTTTCTATGGTATATGTAGAAAGTATAAGACTATTTTGTTTCATTTCAAACAAAATTGAAACCAAAAGTTGCTAAAGAATGAGGTTGACTTGCTAAATATAACAAGTTTTTCAAAATATAGCAAGCGAAGAGTTGTAAAGTGGATTAGCAACTTATGGTTGGAAAATTGAAACCAAAAGTTGCTTGCTATATCACTATTCACTTACTAAAATACTACCTCCGTCCCGTTATATTCGTCGACTTTTGACTTTTGGAACTGTTCATCTAAGCACTTTGATTCATCAAATTCTCTCAATGTGTAAGCCTAAACATAGTCATGTGTGATCTTGTTTGATTTGTCTAAACATATAGATTATTAATATATAATTTCTATAATTTTTTAATATACAAATTACGAGATAAAATGGATTAAAGAAGTGTATTGGATGGTGTGTAAAAATAAAAATGGACAAATACTTTGGGACGGAGGGAGTATAAAATTAGCAAGCCAACATAGTAAGTAAACCTGGCAAAAAGTGACCCGACTTGTTTTTGACCCGAAACCCGACCTGAAAATACTGGGTTTTGAACAAAGGTTTTGATGACCGAACCCGAAGTTGACTGAACCCGAAATGACCCGCTAAAAATGGGTCAAACCCGACCGAAACCGAATCCGACCTGACCGACCCGCTAAAGTAAGAATTTTTCAAAATTATACACTTTTTTTTACTCGTTTTTAGTGTATAAATTTATATTTTCAGACAAAGTTTTAATGATACTGCATAATTATCTTACTTTTTTCCAAAACTTAAGCATTTTTAAATTTCTTATATTGATTTATATATCTAAGAACTACTTTAGAGTTTAAAATAAAATAATTTTATAGATTTAATACTTTTTTGATATTTTAAATTTATTTAATAAAAAATGTAATTGTTAATGTGAATTTAAAAATTTAAAAAACCAAAGTCATAACCCGTTGGGTCGACCCAAACCCGATGATACTGGGTCATGAACATACAGTTTTCAACCCAAACCCGAATTGACCCGAACCCGAAATAACTCGAGCTTGAAGTGACCGAACCCGAACCCGACGTGACCGACCGATTTGCCAGCTCTTATAGTAAGCATGGTTGGAGATGTTCTCAATCAACCTAAAAGAAACTCTAATTCGGAATGTAAATACGGAGTAATTAAGATTACGGAGTACATGTGAAGCTGGCACTACGATGCTTAACAATTCTTCAAGAAAAGATGAAGAGTGCATTCATGAATTCAAAACAAACTAGTAAATCAGACCAAATCAAACAACATTATGAAGTCCATAAAAACCCCCAAATTATTACAAAGACAAACACATATTATGTTTACTAATTAGAGAGATTTCCACTTGCTGTATGTTTGGAGCCCTTTTCCTTCAGATTTGTCAAGAAATGGTTTGCTTTGGTTGGTATGTTCTCCATGTTAAATCTCACTTTGATTGATTTCAAGCACGGGAAGATGTAATCTCCAAGACCCTCCGGGTCTCCCAAGACATGATAGCTATGAGATTGGCTGAGGCAAATGATTTGTTCTATACTTTTATCCTGTTTTTCTCTATGAACATCAGAATTAACATAGTTAAAAATGAGTACAAGCAGCAAATTGGGATCAATTCTTAATCAATTGGTACAATAGAATAGCAACATGTAAGCCTTGTTCTTTTAGATTGGAAAAATTAACTTCGAATTCCTTCCAGTTTCTTCTAACAACTTAAAAAAGTATTTATATATAATGAATATACAAAAACATTGTATATCCAAATTTATAACATACCACCTCAAACACGGACAAAGATGAATCTTTTTATACGTTGATTGTGGTAAAGATTTGATATAAAAACAACCCTCAAGCACGAAAAAAAGATGAATTCTTTTGTACGTTGATTGTGGTAAGATCTCGAAAAGAAACTTGCATGTGGCTTCTAATGCTTTTTTGTGTAATCAAATTTTGTTTATAATTAGATTGTTTGAATGAAAGTTGTGATTTATCGCGATATGGCATCCAAATCAACTATCGAGAAAAAATTCAAGTGCATAATGTATCTAGAAAAATCACGCTTCCAATTTTAAATTTCATTTTAAATGACCGTTAACTAAAAAAAGTTAAAGGCCCCTATTGGTTGAAAAAAGTAGGAGAAAACTTAGCGTTACCCATGAGTACTTTTTGCAAAATACTCTTTTTCTCTCTTATTTTTATTAATTATATTTGTCGTGATTCTTAGAAAAAAGCATGTTAAAATCACAGAACTGTTCAATTACCAGATCCCATTTCATGTTAACTATATATAGGAGACCCAGAAGAGCTTGGGGATTACATGTTTCCGTGTTTGAAATCAATTAAAGTGAGATTTTACCCGAAAAAACGTAAGAGAAGTACACAATTTCTTGACAAGTCTAAGGCGAAGGCTCCAAAATGCATCTAAGTAGAGGCGATAAGATATTATGCAGCATAACATAATCTGTGTTTGTTCTTACTAGATTTTACTTGTGTGATACGTGATAAGAATATTATGCAGTATTATATTACTCTAGAGTAAATTAGATAAAACATACTCCCTCCGTCCGCCTAAGATCTTCTCGTTTTGACTTTTTATGGTTTTTAAGAAGAGTTGAAAAAAATGAAAGTTTACCATAATACCCTTAATGAAAATGGATGGAGTGTATTAAATGAGATGGGTGAGGTGTAATAAATAAAGTAAGTGGGGGTAGTTGTGGTATTTTAATTGTTGAAAAAGGTAATGAGAAGATCTATGGTGGACAAATAAAAAGGGCTAATGGGAAGATCTATAGGGGACGGAAGGAGTACTACATAGTAATTAAGAATACAAATATGAACCGAGTATTATAAACATAACTTAAATAATGATAAATACTTTTTCCATTTCACGATATATGTCTCATGTCGACTTATAATATATGACTAAGGTTCTTTTTAAACAATTTCATCTAAATATAAGTGTAAAAAGAAAAAAAAATCTATATTTTAAAAATTATAAAAAAAATCTACAAATAAAAAATGACATTGTAATATTACCTTTCCCGGTGACAAAAAATTGTAATTGTAGCAAATACACAAAGAATTTAAATTGTTTTGACATGTAAATGGAACTTTGTAATATCACATACTTCGTATAATTGCAATCAGTTCATAAAATTAATGCTTACAATATCTAGATATTTAAATCCGGATTAGGGACTCAGGGATAATCCACTGCCGCGAAATACGAACTCATGAAGCGCCGCCGTGGCCGCCTCCCATCCGGCAATGGAAACCGCCCGAGGTAATGAAACCTGAAATTCTCTGTTCTTATTCTTCGTGTTCCTTGCGCAGCATAATTATTAGTCTTGGGCGTATCTCATTTCTTTGATTCCCCATTTTGAGATTTCAAGAATTTGTCTTTTATCTTTCTTGGCCAATCGTTAATCGCACTGTCTCTTATTCGTTTTTCGGCTTCTAATGGAGAGTCTAGCACTTAATTCTGTCTAAATTTGTGCTGTATGGGATGTCATTTCTTTGTTAAACCCAAACATTTTGCTGTTATGAATCTTGGTTTTGGATTCTTGCAGTCTGTTGCAGATGGGTCGCCTTTTTAATTTTTGGTTCGGGAGTAACATTTTCTTTTCTGGGATTGAACTTAGAATGTATAAAATTCCATTCTTCCATGCTTCTATGAGGGTATTTGTGGGTCGATAAAACTTTAAGATAAGTGTTTATTTTGAGCATAGAATCATAGGTGCTTCTCAGCTTCTGGATTTCAATTTCTGTTAAAAAGTTGAAAATCAGTTTCCAAAAGCATTGTCAAACATGACCAATCTGTCAAACACCATCTAACATTCTAGCTCTCAAGCACTTGCAGGTATTACAAAGATGAGGAATTGAATTTGACTGATCTGAACTTCGATGTTCTGAAACATATAATGTATTACGTTGCGGTATCAGATGATGGAGCTCGAAATGTTGCCCATGCAATGTCTGTGTGAGTCTTCTTTATGCCATGAGTTTTGTCGAGTGGTGTGCCGATTTTGTCCACAATGTGCTTCTTTTGATCTTTTATTGTGTTTCTTTATTTACAGTTGCAGGTTGTTTAATGAGCTTGGTAATGACAAAGATGTCTTGAGAGCTGTCATATTCAATCATGATAGTGCACTCACTAGTATTGATCCATCGTTTTGGCAAACCACTGGGTTGTTGTGTAATTGCCTTATTCATCAAAATATGTCTGCTTTTGACACAGCAAAGCTGGTACGCCATCACAAGAATACTGGGGGCCCTTGGGCTTTGGAACCTTGAACATACTTAGGAAAAAAATCGATAGAAAATTGGAAGAAAAGAAAATTTTGGCCAAAATAGACGATCAACTTGAATTCACTAAATTTACTTAGAGTATCTGTTCAAAACTCTTTTTTTAAATAATACTGTATATTATCATAGGAGTTCTTTTGGCCATAGGGCCTTCACATGGACTGGTGTCGTATTATGAGACTGGCCCTTGGTGTCAAAAGAGAATTATGTTCATATATGCCCGAGTTTCTTCTATCATATAAAAACTGAGAAATGTAAATCCATGTTTCATTTTTTTGCACGTGTGTGTGTGTGTGTGTGTTTGCTGTGATTGAAAGTTATGTTACTCGTGCTTGTACAGTATGCAGAAAAGTTGAAGAGTAAGTTCATACTCCTCAAAGTGATCACAATCTGCAAACTGATGGTATAACCAAACCAACCATGTCTCAGATTATGAGCTGATTTTCTTTCTTCACCTTGTTGTCCTTTTTGTTCTTGGGTGTCAAATGTTTGCGCGAATATATGCAGGTTATGGGTGATAGAGAGAGAGATGTTGCATTCTTAAATACAAGGGCGAGAAAAAGGGCTCTTGATATAGCAATAGATGTTGGTATTTAAGTACAACTTTGTTGAGAGAACCATTACATTTTAAATGTGCTAATTCATGTGTTGTGTACAATCTTCACAAACAGGACTACAGAGAATATAGCTCTGCAATTAAGACTCTAATGCAAAACATCAAGCAGTTCCTGCGTATGTTGAACTTCGTGCTTAATGGCATTGGTGCTCAGCCCACTACATGACTGTAACTGCATTACTGGTGTAAATATGGTAAAGACAGGTCCATCCATGGCTGGCCATTCGCTATGGTAGCTTTGGTTGCTTTTGTATTTCCATTTTGAGGCTACGATGACAACCCTTGAGGCATTGCGGGACCCACGTTCAGCGGGGTGTTTTGTGCTGTTGCCATATTTCTTTTAAGCATTCTTGAATGTTGAGAGTTCACAGTTTACTTCATTTTCACAATTGTCCTCAAGGATTCTACCATGAGGTGTTGAAAGCTGTTTAAGAATGTGAATGGTCCATTTACAAATTGGATAATAGTGGTGAAAGAAAATGGGTATGAATATTTGGAAGGAATCAAAGATCAGAAGAAATTTTAATCTGATAAAAGCCTCGATTAAATTATTATTGTTTCACTCATTCTATTTGTATGATTTTATCATTATATTAAGGCTAAAGGGTGTGGATGTTGTCTAATTTTAATTGCATTTGACTTTTCATTCATAATTTCCAAGGTAATAAAGCAAACCATATGACCCCTGGGAGTATTTTTCTTGAGATTTTCCGTGTTCCAAACATAGTTGAAAGTTTGAAACCCACAAGATTTGAAATATTAACAATATGTTTCGTTCGTGAAATTTGAAATGAAAAGAAAATAGTGATATTCTCTTTTTTTTCTCACAAAAATAATAGGAAAAACTAATTTCTTTCTATTTAGTTCATTTCCCTTTTATTTTATTTTCTTTTTCCTTTCATTCCTTGAACCAAACAAAATGTAAGTATTTTTTTTTGTAATATTCATAATTAAAGAAGGTCAAAAAAAAATTGGAAATGTTTGCGTCAAGAATCACAAGTTTTATTATTTTTTTCAAAAATAATCTTGAGCTTAAATGTTGTGAAAAATCATCCGAAGTTTGCACATGTCATCCCAAAGTTCATTGATTCTGTACGGTCAACATTTTAAAATTTGTTTGTTTGTTGAAATGAATTTAGCATATACTCCATAAAACTTATTTGTGAGATTCTTTTAGAGAACATTATAATATAAGTAATTTGAAATTTTTTGTTTTTTTAGCAACAAAAGAATTTAAAAAAAACACCAACTTACAACTTCTAACTCTTATCACAGACCAAAAACAAAAAAAATGAGACAATTTTCAAGGGGAATATAAACAATCTTTTAACAGCAGCACATCTTCTGACTCTTTCAACTTCTATCAAATTACAAAATTTATCCTTACATTGTGAATAGATATATGTGTATGTAACTTAATGAAGTGACAATGTACTACTCTGTATAACAAAAATAATGATAATTTCACAAATGGTGTGCAACTCATTTTGTTACATGTACTGTCTCTCTTCTCAGGCATATTACTCTTTTTTAGGGCTCGTTTGGTAGCCATAACCGGGAGGGCTTATTTTGCATCTCAGCAGATTATTAAGTGGAGTAGAACAAGCAGCTTTGCTTTCCACACAATTATTTGGCTGAAACAGATGATGTGTTACCAAATAGTTCCTCTCCCCCAGAAAGAAACTCACAGTACAGAGATTCAGCCAAGCCTTACCATGAAAGGGCCCCTCGCGTTTCTTCTCATAGTCGTGTCAGCGTGTTTTATGAAGTGGTTTATTGGTTAGATGCAACAACCGGCTGCTTCTGCAAATGCTCTTCTTCTACAAGTTCAGCTGGGGGAAATAGTTCTGATGGTGTTAGAGATGGGGCTATGGCTTCCACACGAGACCATGTCAGTTGCCACAAACTGTCGCCTTCTTCTGTGGGTGACAGAACCCCACTGGTCTTCATCACCAGCAAAATGTTCTTGAGGAGCTCTGGAACGAATTCGTTGATTTTCCCACTTCTCTTCCCCCTAAGTTTCACATTCGCGCATCTCTCTGAGCAGTCCAAAACCGTCGACCATAGTGTGCGGAAAGACTCCAGCTGGTGAAGATCATGAAGACGCTGCAAGAAGACTTTTGACATTAGCTTAAGGGACAAGACAATTGACCCTTCGATGCTATGGTCCTTCGCGGAGTTATTACGCTGTGTGAGTTCAACCAAATCATCTGTTAGTGTGAAGATTATTTGATTGAAGCATTGCAACCACAAGTCATTTGGGATGTGGATTCCCTCCACTTCTGTCAGGCACCTCTGTAACATCAGAATCGCGTGGTTCCTCACGGCTTCTCTTGAATCCAAACACACTTTTCTAAGCCCCTGTACCAACCTCAGCCACATCTCCCATATGTCCTGGCACATCTTTGAAGTAGCCTCCTCCGCTAGGGATTCCCTCGTCTTGCTGGACCACCTCACGAGACAGACAACCGAGCCCGCCATCAGATTCAAGGACGTTACGGACCGGTCGACGCTGCCAATCCGGTGCTCAGCGAACTGCCTGGCGGCGTTGACGCAGAGGATATAATTCGCAGGCAAGAGATGGGCCCCGTCGCCGGACATGACGAACGACAGCGTCTCGAACCCCGCATCGGATGCTTCCGGGTGCTGGGCCGTGATCGATAGCAGGGAAACGATCGCGCGCCAGCCCACGAGAGACCGTATCTGCGGGGCGTTTGCTTTCACGAGATGCATCAGTTCCTCCGTGATCTGCGGCAGATACGCGTCGGCGACGCGGGCATCGAGTTTCAACACCAGCTGCAGAGACATGAGAAGCTCGTCGGTTAGATTCTCTTTGTAAGGAAGCAACCGCTGGCATATTCGAAGCAATCCAAACACGGCCTTCTCCACCAGAGCACATGGCATTGCAGTTGATTGGACTATACTAGCTATGTGCTTATAAACACTTTGCCAGAGAAGCATTATCCTGTCCCTGTTGTTTAGTGTGATTGCAATCAAAGCATCCAAGCAAAACACGGCAATTCCTCCATGATCTTCCTTTTTCCCTTTATGAGGCCTCCCTGCGGCCAAAACAAGCGCTTGAACGAGCTGCAAGAGAGACTCTGCTTGCAGAAATTTACTGTCAGCAAAAATGCTATCAATGTGACAAGTATTTATCATATTGAGAATCCGTTGGCGTGCATCAATCTGGTCCTCACTGGGGTCATCTACAGGATCATCGATTATATCCAGGGACAGAAGCTGGCTAAACCGGCCCATTAAGCCGGATGACTTCCTGTTCGAGGTTAGGGGAGGCACTTGAGGGAGATCCACAGTGGTTGTGTTTTTTCCCACATCAGCAGACGATGAGTCTTGATCATCAGTTGCATCACTTAGGATACGAGGAGGAAGAAGGGCGAACCTGTGCAAGCTTAAGATGCAATCCAGAATGTTTTTCCAGCCTGAGCGAATGTGGTCACCATACTCATTTGCTATTGTGAAAACTGCAGTGGTGGCCATTCTTGCCTTGCTATCATCGCCGTATCTAATAATGAAGTCTTCAGCGTATGACGGAAGCAGCATGTTGGTGAATTTGCATAGTGACACAACCAAATCATCCAACACTTGATCAAAGTTATAGGATGCTGAAATCTTAGCAACAGCCATGAATCCATCAACACATGTCTGCAAAATGCCTTCGTGCTCGACATGATCAAAAACCACAGAGATGGCAGCGACTGCAGGCCCAGACAATATAGAAAAGAGATGTTTGTCAAGGTAAGGTTTCGTATCACATACTATGTATGGGGCGGTTTGGTTGGATCTGTGGGCCAAACCAACCCAGTAGCTTGGCATCATAACAGCAGTGGATACAGTACCAGCATCTGGGGTCATCCTGATTTCACTCTCACTTATGGAGCGGTAAAGATCAGACAGAAACTCACGAGGAAGGTCATTTCCCCCATTAATTCTCCGATTGTTGCGGATGAAATCCTCTTCTGTCATCTTCTTCTTAACCTGGGCATTGTGTTGGTCGGTGTTAAGCATTATGATTGAATATGACAAGAGGAGAGCAGCATCTTTGTTTGCCAGAATATCTGGTGATTGCTCATAATATCTTTCGGCAAATGCCTCGAGTACCCTCTGTATCTTTTGAGATTCTCCGGGCAATCTAAATGTTTCCAGAAATATCCGTAGTGCTATATCCAAATTCATTCCAGCAAAATCAAATGTCCTTGCGAATTCATGAAGCACATTGATGCAAAACTCGTCATGACTCCCCAAGAAATCCCCGATAAGGTTCTTATCTAATCCAGGTGCATATCTCAAGAAACATGATACACTTGTGGGCTCTAGCTTGCCAGGTAACAAATGCATCCCTTGAACAAATTGCAGACCCTTCTTAGGATCTCGGTTAAAGTGGTCAGCTCCAATCATCAACTTCTGTTTAATATGTTTCATCTTACTCACATATGGAACCCAATGGATAGGCTCATTATAGTCTTGACATTCCTCGGTCCAGAATGGCTTATATTCTTCAGAATCTAATGAAACATGTTCTGAAACTGGACCATGCCCGATTCTCTCACAAACACCACCAACCATAGCAATTAGACCATCCAAAGCAATGGTGTTCATTGCTGTTAAAGGGCTATTGACTGGGAACGTGCTCTTTGACAATAGGCTAGCAAGTTCTTCAAATATGTTGCTGCAGGAGATGTCACAATCAAAATTAGCATACATCTCAGTCATGAAAACATTCTGCCTGCAAAAGTCAACAAGAGCTTCCAAAGCAACTTCTTGCTGTTGATAAGAAGATCCGTGTTTGTTCTGTGCAATCCTCAAGAGCACGCCAGAGAAGAAAGTTTCAAGCTGCAGCTTTAGTTTATCACGGAGATGCTGATAGAGATTTAAAAAAATGCTACAAACTGTCGAAAGGATTAGTGGGCTCATCGACAAGCCAAATCGCATCAAAGTACGGAACAACTCCTGCTGTATCAAGGCCAATAATTTGGGATGCCTTCCAAAAGAAGCCCCACCCAATTCAATTGCTGAATTAATTAAACCTAGAGCAAAAAGGGGGACATCTTCATCATATGCTATAGGATTGGATCTTGGACCAATTTCCATGTGATCCATCACATTTAGAAGAGAACATAGGAAATGAAGTATCTCCACCATGCAAGGGATTCCATAAGGATCCATCATGGAAAGAGCTCCACCAATAACACTCTCCTTTTGACTGCCCTGTTCATTCTTTTTGCTTGTTAATTGACTTGGGGACACATTCAAAGGAGGTATAGTAACAGAACCTTCATCAGAAGATGTCTTGTGGTTAGATTCTACATTAACAGAACCATTGTCAGATTGTCCATCCCCAGGTGTTTGAACATCCATCATCATGCCAACCTAGAAATTCCATTAAATAAACTTTAGAGTGAAACAGCAAAAAACTGTAACAGAGAAAATAAAACACTCATGTGGAAATCCAAAATATTATGATGTAGTAATGATAAACATCCAGCCCTTGCAACAAACCTTGACTCGAACAGTTATACAGATACACAAATCACTTACAATCAAGAATTTAACTACGGAGTATGTGATACTTAACCAGAAGCGATTTCCTAAATTGAACTACATCTCTACTGCACGATGAGTGGATGAATGTCCACAAAACAGTGCTCGGTAAATACTAAAGAGCATTCATGCTCAGCTCTGCCAATGCAGAAATGATGTCTTCCACTAGTCCCTCTGCACCAATTTATCCAGTTTGTTTTTTTCTGTCTGTCCCAGTTTATCATTGCCCAATTCGGCAATTCCATTTGAAGAAAGCATTATGTGTTTCATACTATGTCTCTCTCGCAAAAAACGCAACTACACAATTGTCACTTTCTTAATATTTTGCATAGTCAAAGTGCAGTAAATGAGTTAGGTCAGAGGGACTGAGGGAGTAACATACTTTGAAGCAGCAAAATTATCCTTAATGGTTTAAAAAGTACTACGTAGATCCCCCCCACCACCCATAAGTCATTATTACCTCTGGGGTAGCACAAAATCTGCTCCTCTGAACAAAAACATCTTCACTGCTCTCGATATCAGGCAAATGAGAAAAAATACACCGAACCAATTCATGCATTGTGTGACGTGTAATCCTCTGCAATAGTTCGCTTTTGGCACTTGCCTGGCGGACCAACCGGAAACAGGTATTTACTATGTTGCATACATGCTGGTCTCCCAAATAAATTGATGCCTTACTTTTCATGCACGCCAAAAGAACTTGAAGAATCTTCATCAGCACCACTTCTTCAGAGGCTGAATCCGTAACTTCAAACCGGCAGCTGGTGACAGCATCAACTATCTGATGCAAAGCCTTATCTACATTCTTAGTAGTCGAATCAAGAATCTCAAGGGTCAAGAATTTGTAAATGGCTGACAAAGCAACCCCTGTGATTGGTGCACCGGTTTCATCAGATTGTACCACATCCAAAAATGGCTGGAGATAGACTAATGGATCAACAACATTCCATTGGTGTTGCCATGAGAAGATCTTTTTCCGTAGTTCCTTGAAGGATTGAATGAGAGAATGCTCTAGCTGGTCGTCACTAGAGGCATACTGAATTCCCCATCGTACATTTCTTCTCATCACAGCTAAAACCGCACCAATCTCTGAGTTTACCATGCAAGCCAAGGCACTCCTGGATGGCTTACCCATGCCACCTTTGGGCTCTGAACATATGCCATTGGCTTCAAATTGCTGGTTCAGACACCCCATAGTGATTTATGAACTTCCCTGCAACTCCGCCTTAGATGCCAAAATGCTAAATAACCAAAAAAAGAAAACAAATAAGGCAACAATACCATAAACACCTAAATTATTCATCAAGTTATACAACAGTGAATAAGTATATTTAACATAATTCATTAATTCTGCTGAATAACATCTAGAATGGTTACAGACGACTGGCAGGCCATTTGAAAACAAATCGTTGAAGCGAATTGAATTCTAACGTTTGAAGTGAATAAATAAACAAATAATAGAACTGAATTGATTTCCAATATTTTGAATGGATTCAATTCTTTTTAAAGACATTTTGCCCTTCATCTATAGAAGTCCATATTTTAAAATGGATTAAATTTAAAATCATAGAAATTTCTTGCATAATTGAAATTAGATTATTTTTTTACAAATAGAGGTTTTAAACTCTAAAAACATATTTCAAAAACAACCAGGCATCAAACTTATGCACAGGAATAATAAAATCCGAGATGTGTTCTGATTTATGAGGGTAGAAAGAGGCTTTTTCAAAGCCATTATAAACAAAAATAAATATGAGGGAAAATGCAGAGATATAGGCATCAGCTTTACCGGTGTAAGATCTATTGGCACAGATCTTTCACAAAGCATTGATTTATGAGGGTGGAAAAACTGCACAGATCTCTTGTAGAAGACACTCAAAGCGAAGCTACAAGCGATGGCCGAGGCGTCTCTGATTGGGAAGTAGATCGGGCGAGAAGGAGATGGCCGATCGCTGGGGAGAGAAGCAAGGGTTTAGCGATGAAGAAATTCAATTCATCCGACTCTCATGGCGATTGAATTCCAGTCCCAGAAATCACATCAAAGTATGAAAATGAAAAGCATACCTTGTCTTGTTGACGATCACTGCCAAGAACAGCGAGCTGCCCGTCGGAATGTCACCATTACAGAGTGACCGACGGCACAAATTTGCAAGATTTTAGCATTTGATTTAGACGTTCTCTTCTTTCCAAGTCCAATGGAAATTGAGAACAATTGAGCAATTCTTTGTTTGTCAACTACCCCACTATTTTACGAAATGTTTCACTGTTTTTCTCGGATCATCTCATACGGAGTATTTTTGTCTAAACTTACTAAATTTGTATTGAGTAAATTAATGGTCTTTTTTAGTTTTTTCTATGCTACATCCATCCTTAAAAAATGACACACTTCATTATTAAAAATTACAATATTTTTTTTATTTTTTGAATTCTTATTTATTATTTAATAAAATAAAATATTTTTGTTACATCTTATTTTGTAAAAATTTTAACTTAATTATTAAATTTGTTAATTTTATTCATTTTTTTACATTAACCTTTAAATGAAATGATTGAAAAAACTTAATATTTCAATTGGTTTGTATAATGTGACATACTTTTTAAGACGGTGGTAGTATAATCTTCAATTATATTGATACTCCCTCCGTCTCCCAAAGATCTTTCTAATAGTCTTTTTTCTTTGTCCACAATAAATCTTCTCATTTCATTTTTTAACAATTAAGATACCACAACTACCCCCACTTGCTTTATCTATTACACCTCACCCATGACCCACCTCATTTAATACACTCCACCCATTTTTCATTAAGGGTATTATGGTAAACTTTCACCTTTTTTCAACTCTTCTTAAAAATCACCAAAAGTCAAAATGAGAACATCTTATGGAGACGAAGGGAGTATTAATTTAAATCACATGTTTGATTTACAATATTAGCAAATTTTATGGTGGACATAAAGTCCATCATGAACTTACATATTAGAAAAATAAGTATTTTTTTATCTAGATAATCATTTTATTTTTAAAATAAAAAAATTTTAAAAAAAAATATGTGAGAAGCCACAAAATGATATGTAACCAGAGTGTACCATAGAATCACTCTACAATACTCCCTCCGTCTTATAATGATCTTTCCAGTTCGCAAAACGAAGAAAAACCCTAAGTTTTTTCAATCTATTTTATTTAAATATTGGTATAGAAATAAAAAATAAAACATACACATTTAAAACTACATCAAAAGTTCAACAAAACAAGTGGTGACAAGAATATTTTATTTTATCATATAGGCAATGAAAAAACACAAATAAATATAAATTCTCTTGAAGTTGGAATAGTGCTCTGACAGACGGAGGGAATATTTGCAAAGTAGGTGGTTGGATGGGGTGGGAGCATATATAGCTACCCTTATTGTCCTGCTTTTTCTTTCTCTCTCTCCAACTCGTCATCATCATCATCTTCTTCAATTCCGATTCCTGAGAGAGAGAGAGAGACGACGGAGACACGCACAAATTAAACCACCCATCGCCGCCCTAGCCTCCGGCTGCTGTCATAAATCTCCCATCCCACAATTCATTCAAATGGTAATCATAATCAATTAACGAAACTAATTTATTCTGTAAGTATTTAATATGTCTAATATATAATATCTCAGCAATGTATATATGTTTAACTTAATTTAATTAAGAAATATTGTTCTCTGCAGATCTGGTGGGTGGGTGATTATCAGGCTGGCCGGACAGGGGAACATTGAATTGAAGGTGCACCATACCTCATTAGATTATTATAGTATCTGTTTTGTTTAATTTCTTCTATTCGTCTTCTTGTGAGAAAAAAAAATGAATAATGCACATTATTATTCTTCTGTTTTTTTGTTTTTTGTTTTTTTGCTTTTTGTTTTTATTAATCTTTTTACGCGTATATGTTTATACTGCATGCTTAAATGCATAAATACATGCATTTCAGCTATCATACATTCATATTTCATACTCTTTTTTTTTGATGTTTTGATTAAAGAACAATATATATAATGGGGGCTTGTGTGTCGACGCAATCGCACATGATTGGGATGCGGAGGAAGCGGCTGTTCAAGCGGGGGCGACGGGGGAAGGCGGCCGCCATACGGGGCGGTGGAGATGGAGTTACAGATTTCTCCGTCAGCGAGTTTGTCCACACCACCACCACCACCACATGCCGGCGATCCGCCGTCTCAAACTCCACCTTCCACCTTACTCAGCGCCAATGGCACCATACCCAAAGAGGATCTAACGGTAAATAGTTCTACTTTAAAAAAACTAATTTTGACATTTAACATTGGAAATCAATTACAATTTAACATTTTCTTATTTTGGCACTTGGTCAAAATAGGAAGTGTTTTCCAGAACTGGAGTACGTAAATATTATTGAGTATCACTTACATCCTAGCATATTCGTCTTGTTTGACTTATTTGATTTAAATTGAATGGACTTTGACCCTCATTTAAGTAACAAAAGGAAAAAAATGAAATAACTTTTTGAAAATATCTTCCAAGATAAATATGCACAGTATATAAAATTTTATTCAAATTACCTGCATAAAATTAAACTGAACAAACACACTCAAATGGAGTATAGAATATTATATATGTAAATTTAAATTATATTGATCCATTATATTGTCTCAAAATATATTGTCTCAGAATATCATTGTCTCACTATTTTTTCTAGTGCCACTAATTTTTATCCACATGTGAGCTTGCAGTAGTTAACCAAGAAGAGGCATGGTTTGACACTACTAGCATTCTAGACTCAGAGTCAGATGAGGACTTCTGTAGTGTCTATGGAGGTATTATATCTATTAATCTTAACTTTCAATAAATCTAGTAAGTTCTATACATGTTCATATTAATTAGTACCCTTTTTTTATTTTGAAAAATGCTACTCTTAGCACCATCAATAATTCACACAAAGAGTTAATTATCTTCCTCTCTTTCTTTCTTTCTTTCTGGTAAATTACAGAGTTATTCCCAAACAGGCTAAGTGGACAAGTAGTGCAGTATGAAATCCATGAAAGATATCTAAAGCTGGATGTCAGCAACAACAATACAGACAGCAAGCTTACAGACATAGCTGACCACCTCAAGGAGCCAAAAGGACTTGCCCTTTTAACTGCTGCCACAGGCTATCATGAACATAACAAGAAACTGGACCGCGGCTACGGGAGCTTCAATTCCTCGAAATCCGAGCGACAATTTGGTCATGAGAAGAGCCACGGCGACGCGTTCAAGTCTGTGTTGCCTAAACTGGGAACATCTTTTAGCTTCAACGACAAGATCATCAATGCGGCAAACTTAGGACTCTGTTCTCAGACCAGGAAATCCACTGTCATCAGGCTGTCTGTCACCAGGACACAAATTGATGCACAAGAACCCGAAGCTCTCTGTAAGTTCCTTTACCTTTTTTTATAGTATAAAACCTTTCTTGAGCCCATGACTACCATAAACTTTAGCTTCTGGTTCAGTTGGTTCCTTGACAACTTCAACATTGAATATTCTGCTGATAGGTACACCAAAAAAGTACCTTTACCGTCCAAGAGCTGGTCTTATAGTTCCCTGTTGTACAGAAGAAAAATCGACACCGGGAACTTGGTCATTCATTCCACCCTCAAATTTCAAGCTCCGTGCTGAAAGTTATTTCACGTACGTATCTTTAATCCTACATTCGTCCCAAAAAAAAAGTCGTGTTTTTGAATGCTGTCGCGAATGCCACTCCTTCTGGGGAGAGAGATGGAGTGGCTAGGCATAAATTGTGCAGTGTGTAATGTGTATATTCACATTTCGTTGTGTTCAATCTTCAGAGACAAGAAGAAACTTCCTGCTCCAAACTTGTGTCCTTACACTCCTATTGGAGTTGACCTGTTTGTCTGCCCAAAGAAGATCAATCACATCGCGCAATATCTCGAGCTTCCTTCTGCAAGCACAGATCCAAATCTTCCTTCTTTGCTCATTGTTAACATTCAGGTACAAAAAAACGTAATGTTCTTGAAATTTATAGAAATTACTGTTATTATTATTATTGGAAACCACAACTTTTCAGCTGCCTTCTTATCCACCTGCAATGTTCCTCGGAGATTGTGATGGGGAGGGATTGAGCCTTGTGTTGTATTTCAAACTCTCTGAAGATTATGAAAGAGAAATCTCCCCTCAGTTTCAAGACAGCATTAAGGTAAGAATCATATGTTGTATTTGTGAACAAATGGCATTCATTACCTTAACTGCTAGTGTGTTTTGATGTTGAAATGTGATTCTTGAATTGTTCTTTTCTTTAGAGATTAGTTAGAGATGAGATGGAAAAGGTTAGAGGCTTTGCAAAAGATTCAATGGCTCCCTATAGAGAAAGGTTAAAGATCATGGTTGGCGTGGTCAATCCAGATGGCCTTGTATCAAATTCAACCGAGAGGAAACTCCTCAATGCTTACAATGAAAAACCCGTGCTTTCCCGCCCCCAACACAGCTTTTACCAGGTCACCATTATCAAAACTCAAACCTATATGTACATCCTGTAAAACTGCGAGATTTCATCCCAAAACCAATAAGAGGATCCCATTTAGTCTTAAATATCTGTTCTTGCAGGGTCCAAAATATTTTGAGATTGATTTGGACATCCATCGTTTTAGCTACATAGCGAGGAAGGGACTCGATGCATTTAGAGAACGCCTAAAAGAGGGGATTTTGGATCTTGGCTTGACAATTCAGGTCACTTTTTCTTCATATAATGTTCACCTTTTATCATGAGACCTTCAAGGCACCTTATTTCTTCACCCCTGGTTTTTTGGGCATTAACAGGCGCAGAAACAAGAAGAGTTGCCTGAAAAAGTGTTGTGTTGTTTGAGGTTAAACAAGATCGATTTTGCGGATAAGGGGAAAATCCCAACACTGATGAGAGTAGAGGACAACGAGACTTCGCAGAGTGGCATCCGCGGCCTGCTAACAGATGCATGAGGAAATATCTGTCCTAGATGGATTCTTAAATGGAATCTAATGTTGTAACATAAGCCATTATCAGGATTCAACTGTATTTCTGATGTTTTTTTCTTACATGTATCATAATGGAGGATTAAGAGCTTTGTTTCTTCCCTTAAGCATGAGTTGTTATGTATGTGATCATGCCATAGGGTCAGGTGGCCATGGAATCTTGTAAATCATGTTGAATTCCATGTAATAGCTTTCTACTACTAATTTTGAGTTCAATTTCTTATTTAATTTGTTCTAATATATCTATTTACTCAACAGTATATAGCAAGATATGTTGCTTTGGAGATAGTTACTCATTCTCTGCAGAAACAATTGATTCTAGCTTAGGTTTTTTAGACAATTTCTATAGAGGATGTCTTACTATTCTAGAATATTCTAGAAAAACTACACACTTCTAGAGGATTTTCCACATCTTCAAAAAGTTTTAAAATTCCCTAGAATCTTCTCAACTATGGAAGGATCCCAACTGAATGAGGAGAGCTAGAAAGCCCAGTCCCCACCACCAGGAAAACAATTGATTCCAGTTAGAATAGTTGATTTTTTTCAACTTTCTGCCATTTATCCACAAAAGTATTTTCCTATGCCAGTTTTTTAAAACTTTTCCAATTCAACATTCACTTAAAAACAGATATAGAACATAAGTGTATGCCAATCAACCCTATCAAAGAGCATGTAGTCTAGAAAATATTGTTTTTAAGAAAAAAGTTACATGGACTTTGCATGTTGTGTGCAGTTTTACATGAAGTTGGCTTTAAACGAAAATTTTCACTACAATTGCAAACACCAAACAAGGATAAAGAAAAATGGAAAATTATTAGAGCCAGAGAAATTTAACAACCAAATGGTAAACATATTGAGAGGGGAAAAAAGTGAGTTTTATAACAAACTGCTCTGTACTTTACACAGGACAATATCAATGCATTTTCAAAACAATATATACATGGATGCGTTCAACACATTGAGTTTTTTCATTCGATTTCATCTTTTGGAGGCAAAATACTGTGGCAATTGCAGCATTTGATCTGCATCTATGGTTAAAGCACAGGTGCAATCCCAAGGAGAAGTACACAAAAAAAACCCGCGAAGAATGCTGAGTTGGATACATACAAATCTTCCTTAGTTCATTCCAAGTTATGAATCTGCAAAAAAATACCAAACAAATTACATGTTCATGTTTAGAGTAAGGCAGGCTCTGTTTGGTAGGCAGTTCTGGCTTATTTGGTAGGTTTTGACTTAATAATGAGGTTGAAATGAACTTTACCAAATGATTTTCTTTTCAGAAAGTTCATTAGACAGCCAGATAACCTTACCGAACAGGCCCTTGGACAAAAAAAAGAGACTGCCATGCACTTTCTTTTACCTCTATAGAAACGTGATCTACGAACAGCTTGACGAGTTCTGATATCCTGCCTAGTATCATATCTGTTTGGATGTTGGAACAATGGTCCTGAAAATACAGTACTTCCTTGTTGATCATCATTCTCCTGCAAGTCATTCAAAACCATGGCAGAAATTTTTCTCTTAGTGGAAGTTACTCAAGAACTCATCCCAAAAGATTATAGCTAAGATTACCCGTTTCGACCAAATAACTCTTACCAAACAGGTCCCTAAACGTTGATTGATACGCGGAATATACAAAAGGAGGAGTTCTAAGTTCTAACCAGTGATGGCTTTCTGGAGTGATATATATCAGACGAGTCAAACGACTGTTGCCTTCCTGATTTCAATCGGTGCTTGCGAAGGGCACACTTTTCAGCCATATCAGGGCTTCTTGTAGCTTCAGCATGGAACCGATCTGAAGGGGGGGTTACTATGACATTACATTTTAGACCTTTTGGATTATTGTTGACATGACTAGTGTTAGTGTGGGTTCTTGAAACTGGAAAGTCCTGTTTTTGGTTCTTTGCCTTTGTAAAACTGGCAGACATTTCAAGAGGGGCAGAGCAAGCAGTTTCAGCCTGAGACAAATCTGTCGCCGTCTGAGAAACCTCGGACGTTGTATCGTATGATTGTTTTAATGACACCCGTGACACTGTGGCTCCTTTAGTAGCACCACGGTTGCCACCACCAATGTTGTCTCTGCGGTTATATGGAATGTTCGCCTCCATCTCCTTTATAAAAGCACACTAGTTAGCATATACATATGAAAAGAACCCATACAAACCCATTGTTATAGAGGCATCTAGTAGTTGTAGAGGCTAATTTTTAGAAAATTATTGTGTTGTACATAGAGTGATAGAGACTTACGTGCATTGGAAGAGCTCTACTGAAGCTGATAGACTCTCGTAAATTATTTCGAACTTTTCTTGGATTTTTGGAAGCTCCCAATCCTCTTGCCGCAGAAATTGCATTCCTTCTGCAATGCAGATACTATTCAAATTGATATCTGAATAGACTCAATTTAAGGGGGGGGATGAAGAGTTTGAAGTACAAAGAATGGAATAAAGCATCACCTTCGTTCTTCTTCCCGAACTTTTGCATCAATCTCTTTGTTTGGTGGGTACTTTTGCAAGCTCCATGGATCACAAGCATATGGCACAGAATTGAAATACTGCAAGAGCAGACAAACATAGAGATGATCACTATACAATAAAAAAGAGTTAATGATATCCCATTTAGTCCCCTAAACCTGGTATTAACTCAAAACAGCACAATGAATGGCTTGTTGATGCAAAAAAACAAAAAAAAAAACCAAAAAAAGAAACTTGCCTCAGAAGCAAGTGTGGATGAAGCGGTCCCACGCTTATAAGGCTCAATTGAAAGAAGTGTTTCTATGAGGTCCA